TTCACACACTGAGAGCCCTATTTAATGTTGGCTTATATGTATACATTGACCCTATGGCATGCATATAAAGTTACATATTGGCACCTGATAGATGAGATCACTAATATTTGAATTGCTTTTAATAACAATTTCACTTAAAATTTTCTTTGTATAAATAAGTCAGTTTAAATACTTTTAGAATTTACTTTGTTTTTCATCAAATCACACTAACATACTTCTAGATTTTTCTCTTCAACTTGTAAAAAGAAAAATACTTTTGGGTTACTTTGTAGCTCTTGTATCAATCTGCATAAATGAAGCTACTTTCTGGGTTAGACTTGAAACATATAAATAAACTGAATGAGGAAAGAAGTGAAATTTAGTGTGGTGGACATTTTTAATGCATTTAAAATGTTACTCAGAAGCCATCAAGTGAATTTCCATACTCTTGAGCTTTATAGAAATCATGTTGTAATTTTTTCAAGAGGTGAGACATCCAACCAAATTATTATAAGACTTTTGACTCAAGGCCTAACTGAAGGGAGTCTTCTTGGTAGAAAGCTGACACTCTTGAGTTCTTAGAGTTCTTAGACTACATGCAGTCAAATGAACCTTTAAGGGGGTTGTTACAGGTTGAATTGCATTCCCTAAAAAGTCATGTGCGGAAGTCCTAACCACTACTGCCACAGAATGTGACCTCAATAGGGTTAAAATAAGGTCCTTGGGGTGGGCTCTAATCCAATGTGACTTATGAAGAGGGGATTTTTGGAGACAGACAGGGATATGTACAGGAAGAACTCTGTGATCATGAAGACAGCCATTTACAGGTCAATCAGAGAAGCCTAGGACAGATCCTCCCCTCCCGGCCCTCAGAAAGAACAAATCCAATACCTCGATTTGGGACTTCCAGCCTCCAGAATGGTGAAGTGATACATTTCCATTGTTTAAGCACTGTTTGTAGAGCTCTGATATGAAACCCCTAGCAAACCAATACAGATGGTCTATAACAGAAAACAGACCAAGGAGGATTTATGGAAAACAGAGACTTGACTGACAGAGAAAATTCATGAACTCTTTCAGCATGCCCAATCTGTGCTAGAATTTTGAGAGTGACCTTAAGACAAGGGACAGCAAACATTTGTTATAATAAAAATTTATGAGAATAGGGATGTACTTATTTACATATTGTCCTCTGGCTCTTCTTATGTTACAGTGACAGAACGAGTCCTTGCAGCAGAGATAATATGTTTCACAAAGCCTAAATTATTTGCTCTCTGGACCTTGAAAGAATGGGTTTTCCTGGTCTTGCCTAGGACAAAATCACTGCCCGGGCATCCTACCTACTGGGTCTTTCTATTGCACAATGTCACAGGATCACAAAATCATGACTTTTTAGAGTAGATCTTGACAGAATTAAAATGGATGAAGAGGAAGGAAACAAAACCCTTCATTTACTTCTTCATCCCAATCATGAGCTGGAGACAAATCCAAAGGAAAAAGAACTTCCAAGTAAAATCAATAAAGGCACTGAAAGCAAGAGTTGTGAAAGAAACAGTTATTCACAGTCTTAAGGCTTAACCAAGATTTTGGAACCCATCAAAATTATATATGTTAATTAAGCAGAAAGTGATTTTTTAAAGAGAGAGATTGAAGTAAGCTCCATGTTCTTTGTGAAAAAGATATTGAATTTCATGATAAAACCAAAAAAGATTATTGAGAAATTACAAAAGCCCATGCCCAAAGTGACAACTCCTACTTTGAAAAAAAAGAAATTTGAATTTCATCATTTCTAACATACTTTCAATATAGTGGTATATCGATATTTTTCATTTATTTCAGAATTCATGATCAGTGCCAAAACCAATGAGGACTGAACGATGAAGAATTTTCTCTTGCAGGATGGTATAATGACTCATATAAGTTCTAGCAAGTGGGACGAGTTCAGAAAAAGTGCCGACTGCTGAAACATTTTTTTCTTGTCAAAATACAATGATTGTAGGGTTTGACAAGTTCTGAAGCCAGGGAGCACTGAGGTATGACTGCACACACCTGGGAGAACACCAAATCCTCGATATGCTAAAAGTTTATCAACAGAGGGAAAATATTCTGAAGAACAAAAATGGTTGCTTTATGTCAATCCAGACATGACATTGGAAGAAAATAATAAATGCAATAAATGTTTTTATAAAGAAGACTCTCCCAAGACTGTAAAGACATATTAAAGAAATTATTCTACAAGGCCTACAAGATGTTGAGCTGTGCAACAACCAAGCCACTGGCACTGAAACAGTAAGAAGTATGTTCATGCTTTTTACTAAGATGACAACAAAAGCAAAGAAGGAAGTTCCCACCCCTCCCAAAGCAAAAGCTTTGAAAGCAAAGAAAGCAGTGACAAAAGGCATACACAGCCATACAGCAAAAAGATCTACACATCATCCACCCTTCGATGGCCAAAGACACTGTAGCTCTGAAGGCATCCTAAGTATTCTCAGAAGAGTGTCCCCAGGAGAAGCAAGCTTGATCACTATGCCATAATCAAATTTCCCCTGACTACTAAGACAGCGTGAAGAAGATAGAAGACAACGATATATCTGTCTTCATTGTGGATGTCAAGGCCAACAAGCACCAGGTCAACCAGGCCATTTAGAAGCTCTGTGAAATCAATGCAGTCAAGGTCAATACCCTGATCAGGCCTGATGGAGGGAAGAAGGCCTATGTTCACCTGGCTCATGACTGTGATGCTTTGGATGTTGCCAACAAAATTTGGAGCATCTAAACTGAGTGTAGCTGGCTAATTCTAAAATTAAAAAAAAAAAACAAAAAAAAAACAGAACATGCTCTCACCTAGAGCCCTAACCTTCTCATAGATATTTTCCAGAAGACTCTAAATTTGGACTCTAGCTACAAAAGAGCAGCACATGATTATCAGTAATGATTGATGTGACAGGCAATAACAACTATCATGATAATCTTGAGGACTGGAGTCAAAGACTCATAGCCAACACCAAGGTCTAGCAAATAATTGGTATCCTAATCAAGGCCTTCTCTTGGCACAAATGCCAAATAACCCCCTGACACTCCAGGAACATATAAAGAATCCTATAACTGAAGAAGATCCAGAAGCTAATCACAATTTGAGAATGCTATGTTCAGCTTATTTCCCTTTCCTTCTATATAGAATATGGAAAGAGTCCCTGGGTTGCTATGAAGAATAAAGAGAAGAGAAAAGGAAAAGGGAGAGAACTTTGATCCATATAATTACAAGCATAATATTTATGTGCATGATGCATTCTTTGCACAGCAGCTGTCTCTATACCCTCCAGGGTTCTTTACTGCTGTCACTTGAGTTCTATATCTCCTCCCTTAGCAAACTCTCCTGGCTATTGTTTCTGGTAATTGCAGATGGGGGGGAGTGGGGAGTTGGTGATTGTATAGTAGGTATGTGTAAAGGTGAGAGATCGTTCTTCCCAACCTCTGGTGCCAACTATTCTTCTCTTATTTCTAGCCTTACACTCATTTTTCCATAAGAAAACAAGCCATTCTGGCAGTGCTATGGCGAGTGGGGAGAAGCGGGCAAAGGAGAGCTGGGAAGGGGAGAGAAAGAAAATGAATCTGTATTATCTACACGTGTGGGCCCTACAGGAGCTACCACTCAGGTGGACGCATGAGTTTTAAGCACAATTTGTTTGAAGAGCAGAGGTCTGAGAAAAATTAATGCTAATTCATAATGAGTCATACTTTGGGCCAGCATGAGACTGGATAACTTAGTTTACAATTGTGCTTTTCTCTCACATAAGCACATATTAAAACTGACTTTCTAAGTAAAAGAAGTTTCCTACCTATTTGTCTGTAAAAGCATGAGCAGTGAAATAACACAATTAATACAGTGGGGACAGAGTTCTGCCTGAGTGGTTGCCTCCTCATCCTCAATCATCAATGGGGCTGACAGAGGACATGTCTCATCTTCCATGTGTATTTATTTGAGTGCTGAGTTCAATTTTGACACATAACACACCAATGCAAAGCCCTGAATTCTAAATAAAATCTTTCAATATTTGTTTTCTAGCTCAACAAAAAAACTGTTAATGAATCCAATTTAAGACTAAGAACAATATTTACACCTCTTTTATTGGGTCAGGCTTAAATGGTCTTGATAAAAAAGAGGCCCAGCCCCTATAAAAGCAATCAGGTGGAGATAGATTGTATGTCTGTAAAAAGTCTGCAAAGGTTCAATGAGGTAGTCTAAAGTAAAGACCATTATATTACCAAAATGATTCGAAGGAAATATAAGCCAAAAGTTACTTTTACTTCCCTTACAGTTAACAGAAATCTTAGTAGAACACAATTATAAACATGTGTATTTCTGGGCTATAGTTTAAGCACATAGATTAATTGCTAATGAAACTGCATTTTGTACTACCAGGAGAGTTGTAATACAAACAAGTCACTAAAGTTCTGCTTTATTTGAAGAAGAAGTAGATAAAGAGAACAATCTTTGCCTAATGTATTGACATTACATGTGTATAGAAATATAGAATGAAAGAAGTAACAAGCCAATTTATCTAGTCAAGACATGTATATGATCATTTAGACTTTTTTTTTATTTGGCATATCTACAGCATCTGTTATTCGGGAGTTTAGTACATGCCTAAATTCTGGTAACTTTTCACTGTGATTGAGGAGTCTGATATACTTCCTGGAAAATTACTGTTTTTAAAACTTTTCTAATTCCTTTGAGAATTTAAAATTGGGAGTAATTGATCATTTAAATTTTTTCATGGAACACATTAAATATAAAAGATCTCAGCAAAAGCTTCCATAGGTATAAGTTATATTTTAAAATATAAATGGAAAGGATGAATCTTTTTCACAGAACCTATTGTTATCCTTGGGAGAAATTGAAGTTATTTATTATCTTTTGTGAAGTTAATTATATTAATTGTTTGCATTGGGTTAACAATGCCAAATGGAAGAATGTGAAGTAATTAAACAAGCATTATGTACATTTTCTTCTATTTCAGTTGATTTATCATTAGTGAATAAGGATGAAAATGCCATCTATTTCTTGGGAAATTCTCTTGGCCTTCAACCAAAAATAGTTAAAACATATCTGGAGGAAGAACTACAAAAGTGGGCCAAAATGTGAGTATGATTTCAAGTTATCACTCACCATCTCATGTTAGAATTTTAAAAGTCACACTAGATTGTCTAATATTTGAAAAATGTATAATAAAATTTTAGGGCAGAAAGGAATTTTAGTGATCATGTCACTGAACACTTTCACTTTACTGATGAAATAAATGAGATCAGTAAATAAGATCATGTGGCCAGTTACTGTCAAAGTCAAGAGTAAAACTTTTAAAATATTAAAAAAGTTAAGTATCTTTTCTGACTTGTCACAGTAAAAACATATGTAATTATTTTGTTTTATTTCTTTAATGACTTGCAAAGGAGTTAACATTTGGGATTTAAATTAGTATTTTTATGATCGGTTCTTGGCTAAACTCTATCATAGTAATTTTCATAAATAAGAAAATAAAATTATTGAGGGAGGTGTAAGAAGTTGAGTGAGACTGAAGGCATTTTCTTCCCAAACGGGGCATGATTATTAAGAAGATGCTCCACTGGGGCTTAGCTAAGCAGCTTCACCCCAACCATTCAGGGATCTTAAATCAGGGTCCATTGTTTTCTCCATCCTTTTCCATCTACTTTTAATTTTCTGCCTGAGAAAACTTTCCCACAATTGGTTTACCTGAATGCATACTATCTTTAATCCAAAACTTTTTGAACACCCTGATTATCTCTCCTGAATATCCATTGTTTTAATAGGCAGTTTAAAGATGTCAATTTTCATTAGTTCCATATTCTTAGCTACATTATAAATACCTAATCTTATGTACTTGTTATAGTTCCTCAGTTTACTACTGATAAAACAAAAAACTAGAAATACTTTCAAAATATTTATAGTTATTTATAATGTTTACATAGTTAAAATATTAAAAATAAATAGAAATATTTTCTGATTCTAAAAAGTAGTTATGAAGGGGGAGCCAAACTTGAAGGTCAGAAACAAAAAAAATGAGAAAGAAATCAAACCATGTGAGAACTCAAAAGGCAAGACATTGGGCTCCCATAGAAACCCAGAGTGTCTGTTCCATCTCTCTTTATTCATTTTCTCACTGGCCTTTTATACTTGGAATAGTATCTGATCTTTAAAGTTAGTTTGCAGCTATTAAATAACATGGCAAGCTCTTAATTTCAGTGGTTAAAATATAAGTTCACAACTTAACACAAAAATATAGAGGTTTATATAATTCATTAAGCCTGTTATAACTTTATCCACATAGCTTTTATGAATACATTGGAAAATAAATATCACTACATTTGGAAGCAGTTTGTCCTAGCAGGTTTTAATATTTTTAAAATGAAGGTCAGAGTTAATAAAAATGATTAATGTTCATTTTTGGTCCTAATGTAAAAGACAGCAGAGAATTAGGTTGAAGGAATTTGAACTTCAGAGAATGTCTTTGACTCTTGAATATTCAATCAGCTATGCTGTGCATTTTTAGCCTCTAGGTTCTTTAAAATATGCTGCCTTGCTATCCCACTCATATCCTTATGATTATCTTACTTTATTCAGGGAATCGTTGATTATTTTTGATACTGGAGTTATATTTCAGAAAAGTGTCTCTCTGTCATAACTCTTACCCTGCTATATTACCTTTTAACTTTACACTTTGCCTGTGACAGTAGAATATTGCATAATCTTAAAACATCTTTCCCAATTTTTATTAGACAGATTATTCAGAAAGGAGGTACATTTTAATGCTTCAAACAACACAAACTAAATTTTTTTTAAAGATCATTTCTTTTAAAAAAAATTTTAAACTATATTTTATTGTTTATGCTATTACAGTTGTCCTAATTTCCCCCCTTTGCCCCCTCTATCAAGCCCACCCCATTCCCTCAGGCAATCTGCACACTACTGTTCGTGTTCATGGGTCATTTACATATGTACTTTAGCTACTCTGTTTCCTATGTTGTACTTTAAACCCCCATGACTATTCTGAAACTACCTATTTGTACATTTTTTAATTAATTTATTTTTATTGATTATGCCATTACAGTTGTTCTATTCCCCTCTTCATTCCCTTCCACCCTACGCCCCCGTCCCCACCATTACCCTCCCTTTAGTTTATGACCATGTGTCTCAAGTTCTTTGGATTCTATATTTTCCATACTATTCTTGCCCCCCCATCTATTTCCTATCTACCATTTATGCTACTTATTTTCTGTACCTTCTCTCCCCTTCTCCTCCTCCCACTCCCCTGTTGCTAACCCTCCTTGAGATCTTCATTTCTATGTTTCCACTCCTGATCCAGCTGTCCTTTTAGTTTGTTTTTGTTTTAGGTGTGGTTGTTAATAACTGTGAGTTTGTTGTCCTTTCACTGTTCATGTTTTTTTTTTAACTTCTTTTTCTTAGATAAGTCCCTTTAACATTTCATATAATAAGGGCTTGGTGATGATGAACTCCTTCAATTTGATCTTATCTGAGAAGCACTTTATCTGTCCTTCCATTCTAAATGAAAGTTTTGCTGGATAGAGCAATCTTGGTTGTAGGTGTTTGGATTTTATGACTTGGAATACCTCTTTCCAGCCCCTTCTTGCCTGTAAGGTCTCTTTTGAGAAATCCGCTGACAGTCTGATGGGAACTCCTTTGTAGGTGACTGTCCCCTTATCTCTTGCTGCTTCTAGGATTCTCTCCTTCATTTTAATCTTGGCTAATGTAATTATGATGTGCCTTGGTGTGTTTCTTCTTGGGTCCAACAATCTGGCAAAGGAAATAGACTTCCAGGAAATCCAGGAAGCTCAAAGATCATTTCTTTTGAGCAAAAGAATAGGTAACTAGTTTGCTTAGCTCCGTCATTGTTTTATTTAGCTGTTTTGTTTTAAGTGGGGCAAGTCCACATGGTGGCCCTGCTTGCCCACTGATGTCAGTAGAGTGTGACATGCATGACTCCAATCCCGTGACCTCCCACCCCATCTCCCACCTTGACCTCAAAAGTGTTTTTTATTTCTTTGCTTCTGAATGTTTAGTTTAAAATCCCATTCTGACCTTTTCCAGCTAAGGTTCTGCTGGGAGGAAAACTTTTATTCCACCAACTCTAGCTCTTTTGGTTGGGGGCCTCTGCATTAGTTAACAACTACCAGATTAACAAGAGAAAAGTTTATTTCACATGCAAAAGCACTCTACAGGGAGTCGTTCCCTGACCTGCCAGGAGTACAGTCTTATGTACCAAGCTAACAGAAGGGGCTAGTTTTAGGGTTTCAGTAGGAAAGCACAGAAGGTTCCATTAAGGCTTTTCATGGTGATGATCCTGTGTGGTATCCTTCCTGGCTGGAAGCTCCAAAAGAGGGAGACCGATGGCAACTGAATTCACACCTCCCAGTGCTGTGTCTCCCACCTTCTGAGGGAAGTCAGTGGCGGCTGTATTTTTGCAAGGCTCTGCTTAAGTTTAGATGCTCTGTCTTTGGCTACTGTTTGTTCACATGCTTCAGTGTAAAGTAATCATGCCAGTCTTGTGGGCTGTTGTTGTTTAAAAGGGAAATAATAATGTTAACAATTTATAATCTAAATAGTCATAAAAATCACAGTGCTTTAACTAAGTGAGATTTTGCTCTGGGATAATAGTGTCAAGTCTCTGATTGGCCATCATGACCCAAGGTAGGAAATGCCACTTGGTTCATGGTTGTCATTTTTTTGTCTTCATCTTCTATGGCCCATTTCAGACATAATACCTCCTTATCTACTACCTATCTATAAAAAACAATAACACATCAAAATGTTATTTGACAGTAACTTGTCAAATGATCTTATAATTCATATGGTATAATCTTGACTGTTACAATAAAGAAGGTCAAGATTTGAGAATGTTTGAAATATTTTAGGACCCAAGTGATTTCTTCTAAAAGTTCAAGTTATTCAAGGCAAAACCAAAAATACAGCACTCACCTCCATGTTTTTTAAATGCTTATTATTGTTATTTCCCAATATCACTTTCAACTCTGTCACTTTTCTAAATTAGATTAAAACACTTACTTTAGAAAATATATTTGTCTTGTGAGATGACAGTATTTAGATAATATTCTGAAATAGAAAATATTTAGGGTTATTTGACTCATTCGATATATAATAATTATCAACAAAATTGTCTCATAACAAAAAGAAGCCACAAGATTAATATATAACCAAGTAACCTGAGGCACATCCACATGGTACCTCTACACATGACCCAATGATTAGGGTCGAAGGAAGCAGGATTTTATTTACAGGTTTCCAACCTTGGGGCAGGGGGTCTGGGAGCACTTCTGTTCAGAGCCCTGTTCTCTCACAAGATTCAGCACTTCCCTTTGTCCCCATCAGGCTATAAGCCAAAATCATGCCCAAATGGTCCCCATATTCTTAACTGTTCTTAAGCCAGCTGTGCTAACGGGTCTCCATCCCCTCTGGAAGGTACACTCCTGAGTTTCAGAGTCACCTCCTTTCCCAGCAGCCCTCTCCTTTAGGATCAGGGTACAATGTCTAGGAAACATGTGCCTTGTCACACTGGATCATGGTAGAGTCCCGGGAGACACACATCCCAAGAGAGTGGCTTCTCTGTACATCCCTCAGAGAAGCAGAAGTCTGCACTCCTGGTCACAGTTAGGTTCCAAAGCACCACCCATGAATCTGCTTGGTTAGGCAGGTCCATGCACAGCTCCATCAGCTCTCTCATGACACCCTTTCCTCAGCCCACATGGCTGCCTTCCTACCCCCACATGGTGGAATCCTGACTCCTACCAGCATGCCATCTACCTTACACAGCAGCCCTCATTGTGGACCACTTCACTGCAAACTGCATAACTGCTCACTGCTTCCTCTCTCAGGCCTCAGGACAGAATCCCCCTTCAGCCTGCATGGTTGCTTCTCTACTCTTCTGGCACTCACAGCAGAATTCCCTTCTCTTTCAGCCCACCCTTATGTTGAATGCTTGACCTGGGACTTCCTACAGGACCTCACATCTGGTCCCTCCTACAATGTGCTACTTTTTCCTGAGTTCCTATATCTTTTACCTTCTTTTGGCTGCCATCTTTAGTCAGGGCATGAGTTCTCCATGACACAAGAAGTCACTAGTTCCCTGCCTCTCACACAGGCTCTGCATAAACTCCCCCAACTGCATCCTGAGTCACTATATGCTCTGAAAGTCATGTAGTCCTTTTGTCCTGAGCAGCAGTCTGCTTCCCTTCAGGAAGGATGTGGCTATCAACTTTCCACTGTTGCGAAAAGTGTCTTAACTGCCATGTCATCTGCAACCCCTTCCCACAACCATGGGCTGTGGTGAACTTCTCCTATATTCTGGGGACCAATGCTTTGCACCTTTTTACAAATATGTTTGGACCCTATAGGTATGCTAGAATGAGCAGGCAATTTGCTTAAAGAATTTTTTGAGAGCATTTTATATTAAGTATTTACTAATGGTCAAGGAGAATAACATGGGTTAACAATCAGAGTGGTAAAGTGAAGCTACATTACAGAACAGGGCCATGGGGGGTATGATATACTATTACTGAAAGGACCCCCAACTAAGGTTTGCTATGTCTGCTGCCAGAGGAAAGATGTCTCTAAATGTCAGAGATTTGTGAAAAGGAAAGGAAATGTTTATTTAAAGCTATACAGACTTAAAGTAGTGACCTAATGTCTTCATTAAAATATTAAAGTCCTTTAGGATACCCACAGACACACAGACTCCTTCCTTCTCCCTCTCCCTAGGCGTCCCACCTACCCCCTCGGGGCTCAAGAGGTCTAGACCATTTCCAAGATTGGGGTACCTCAGTTCTGCCGAAACTTACCGCCCAGCGGTTGATGGTCTTCTGAGTGTATGTAGATCCCGGACGAGCCGCCAAATGTTGTAGATGATCGGTGGGTAAATACACACTCTCGGAGTCCGGAACCAAATTGATAAAAATTTTAATGGCCAAAGATTTTCCTGCGCAGGGGCCAACTTTCCCAACTGTGACCGGAGTCACGTAGCTACTCAGAGCTACAAAATGGAAGTCGCGCCTGGCTTACAGACTACTGGGTATTTATATTTTCTAGCAAGCAAGCAAAGGCATACAGAAGCAGAGGTGGCGGTTAGCTATTGGCTTATTTAAAAACGGCGAGGGGCCCTGATTGGTGGGTGCTGCTGCTGGCGGGCACTTTCTGGCGGGCTGGGTTAGTTACCTTATTTGGCTAGAATTTTAAACCCAATTGTTCCCTGATGTTTGTTCATTACCGTGTTCCAGGAACTGCAGATTTAGGGTTGGGTAATGCCCTAGCTGTAATTTTTCTAGCTGGGTATAACACACACACACACACACAAAACACACAAGAGCTGTGATATCATGAAAGAAAACTCTAAAATCATTTATTTACTTATTGGCATGGAGGGTTTTTTAAAGCAGGGCCACTTTTCCTTTTGTAGGATGGTTAAATCATAGTCCTATTGGAAAGAGGATCTATGTTTGATTAGATTGTGTATCCTGAAATTGAATTTCATGAGCAAATACTGCTTCCTGGACTTCTCAGAGAACACCCCACTCCTGGCCAGGTATCCCCTGGTGTTAGTGGTAAAATGGCACCTGAATGTTACTGGTGATTGGATCTCAGTTCAGCAACTTTGGTATCTGAGTTCCAGCTAAGAACAAATTCCACGCCAAAACTCAAATACAAGCAAAAGTTCATTTAGAAAGACACAGAGTTAGAAGAAGTGAGCCATGGAAGGAATGAGCCGGTGGGCTGTGTTTGCTCAGAAAACAAGTTATAGAGGCAAAAGAAGGGTCCTGGGAAATTAGGAAAAAGAAGGCAAGGATATATTGATCCGGGGGAAGGCGAGAGGAAAAGGCTTTGCAGAGCTCCAGAGAAAGAAAAAGCCATGCTGGGTTCTACTTAAGGGCTTTCAAGGGTGAGGATTTTAGAGGAGGTCCCTGGGGAGGATCTCAATAGAATATTCATCAGCTTTCCAAGTGTGTCCCTTCAGGGCGTGGTCTCCACTGATTGGTTGGTGCCAAGGCAGGGGGGTGGGTCATTAGTCGCTGCAGCTGGTCCTGATGTCAGCCATGGCACTGCCCGACCTGGCCTTGATGGTTTTCTGTGCCTTGAGCTGAAACACAACTGAGGCTTAGATATTATCTTCCAGCAGTTAATGCTTAAGGGAGAAGTTGTGCAAGGGTTTGTATGGAGGTCATGTGGGGTTATTTTCTGGCCTAATGGCTAGGGTCATGCCAGGGAAGGAAAGGTCAGAGGAGGGTCAAAGCCTCCTGACCAGCAATATGAAAGGTCAGGGGATCTAAACCACGTGACCAGGGACCTGCTAGGTTAGATAAGATAGGTCACCCTGTGCGTGACATGCCAGCCCATCTTCTCCCCTTGCTAGCTCCCCAGGGATTTCTGCCTTCCTGACCTTGAATACCTAGCTTATCTTTTCTATTCCGCTCACATCTGTCTGTCTGTCTACTAACTTGGAGTGAGTTAACCCTCTCCTATCCTCTTTCTAGTATTTGTAAATGAAGATTGCAACTTATTTTAAGCAGTTTTGAATGAAAGTGATGTATTTTTTTCTTTAATATAAATGCTTATAACTGCACTCTAATCTACATCAATTCTTTCCATTGACAGGCCACTTTCCTTTGAGTTTATTTGGGTAACAGTTTATAAGTACATTTTATTACCCCAGGCTAGTGGCCTGACAAAATGAAGAAGCAGATTCTGTGTATGGTATTTTAAAGGGACAGAGATGCCAAAAGCATTGCAGGAAGAAACATATTCTTAAAGATTATTACCACTACCACAGTGTCTAGTAGAGTGAGAAGTAGGTGGCATAATATTCTGAGATATAAATTCTCTGAGGCAGAACGTAGAATTTTACTACCTAAATGTAAAAAGATGTATTGTGCTCTCAGGGAAGGCCATCGAGCTCTGTGTGATTAAAATAAAAAAGGATTCAAGTATCTGCCTTTAACTACCATTTAATGATAATGACTTTTGTCTTTAGCATTTATATTTGAAGTCAAGAACAAGCCAAGCTGCAGGCTATCTAATAATAATATGAATATAATAACTAACAATGGCCCTTCTCTTCCTCCTTAGATCTTGCAATTTATGTTTATTCTCACAGACAGTCCTCTTCCCTCATCTTAGTTTATATGGTAATTGAAATATTAGTTTTCAAATTGTGCTGTACAGCACATACCCATGAAAGAAAGGAATTTTAACATTAGATTCACATTAGTCAAGAGGACTCAAAAAAGGCCTAGTGTACAGCAGTCTTCTTTTGCATGCTATTTTATTTAGTTTTCGTGACAATCCTTTCAAGTGTATGTTGTCACCCATTTAATACTTTTAAAGAACTGGAAGATTAGGCCTGATAAGCTTCTAATAAAGACAGTCTCATAACCATCATTGACATTGAACTGGCTCAGACTAGGTGATGAAAAGCAACTATTAACTATTCAGGATTTTTGTTGATACCCTGAAGGCAGTCACAGTGGAGGAACTCAAACCATGAAAATTAGCAAAGGTTGAAAAACAGGGTGCCCCTTCTCCAATTTTTCCACTGCTCTCTAGGGAAGGAGAAAAAATCCATGACCTCCACCTTCACCCCAGCCTCCAACCTTGAGTTCTTAGCTGAAACGTCTGTAATAAATGATAAACAAGAGAAAAACTAACATGTTTATTAACATGTATCCCTCATATGTACATATGGGATAGCCAGGGGGAAATGAATAACTTCCCAAGGTGGCGTAGAATTCAGGCTTAACTCCCATCTTAATATGGAGAGGGGCAAGAGAGGGTAAATGATTTTTAAAAAAGATGAATAGGCCCATGAGTAATAGATGGGAAATAAGAAGTTTGTGACAAAGTTTATCTGGATGTGGTTTTGACCTCTAATCTCTTCTGCGATGAGTCAGTCTTCCATGGTTGATGGAATTCCTGCAGAGGGTATTTATAAAATCTACTTTCTTTGAGGTATCTGTCGTTTGGCAAAGAGAGGAGTTTGGAGGCAGCCTCCCCTGCATTTGATGTTTTTCAACTGTCTACAGCTCAAAATAACGCACTGCGTGATATTTTGAGGGTGGCATATTCTGCTACCCTTCAACTCTGAGAACAGGTGTAACAGCTCACTACTGCCAGCTTCCTGAATTTCCTTCCCAGTCTGCTCTATGCAAAAATAAAAAACAAAAACAAAAATGAAAATGAAACAACAAAAACACACACTTTTTCTTTCTTCCAAGTTTACATAGGTCTTGATTCCCTAAAAATTAAGAACAATTAATTAGGAGCTTCCTAAAATAGAAGTTTGTAACAGCATCCATCCTTCCATCCCTCCCTACAACTACAACCTACAAAGTTTTAATTTTTTGTATTTTCATGTATTTATTTGCCTTGTTCATTTAACAAAAACTTGTGAGTTGAAGTCCTCTTGTATTTAATTAATTTTTTATTATGCCTACTGGGATACTCACTAAAATAATGAAATCAATCTGAAATGTGATAGATGAAATTGCTAGACATAGGCCAAGATGTAGTATGAATTTTATTGCCAAGTTTCTTTATCTACCTAAAATGTCATCATAAGTATAACTATATTGTACATACTTTTTAGAGATTGTAACCATAATTTATCACTGAATTTGTAATTAATGTAATGTTTAACCTCAGAAAAGGTGTGTTTTATTATAGATACTACATAAGCTACAGGTATACAAGTAGTGACACAAATAGTGTTGACATTTTGAAAATAATTTTTAAAAGTATCTCAGATTCTTTAAAAAAAAGTAATAAATAGTATATGGGTAATTTCCCCTACACCCTGCAGAGAAAGTGAGTCAAATAAATTTTTAAATGCCAAGTTAAAAAACAGAGTTCTCAAGTATTGCCTTTGGTTTTAGAAGCATGTTTTGCATGTAATTATTAAAACATTACAAAGCTCATGTAGAATTGTCCAGTTGCTAATGATGATATTTGAAAATATCACACACACACACACAGGCAAGGGAAGAATGTTTATGCCCTTTTTCCCTTTCAGGGGAAGCTATGGTCACAACACAGGGAAACGTCCTTGGATTACAGGAGATGAGGTTGTCACAGGCCTTATGACAGACATTGTCGGTAAGTACAAAACAATTTATCCCAAAATAATTATACAGACCTTATTATTTAATTATAGACATGGATTATGAAGTCAAAACCTTATTGAAAAACATCCTGATTTTCCATTTTAATCCATAATAGCAAAGAGCAAGCATAGTTTTAATTGGGACTCGATTGCTATAGACCAAGAATATAACTAGGTTATTTGGTACAAAAATAAAACATGTTATAGCTTTCCTTGTCTATTTTAAAACTAATATTTACTCTCCAGTAAAACACATAAATTGCATTAACTATAATTAAACAAAATTCATAAAAATCAACTTAAGTGAAATTTCTAAGATTTCATTATATAGTAAAATAAACTCTAGCCTTTATATAATAAAGGCTTAAAACACCAATGATTTTTTTCTGTTCTTTTCTTTTTTTTTTTTTTTTGGCTCCTTACAATTCAATCCATGGAGTTGTGTTGAAGATTATAATGAGCATTATTTAAAATAACAGTTTATGCTGTTTTTTGGTCTATAATGTATTTTCTTTTTTAAATTTTTTATTGATTATGCTGTTACAGTTGTTCTATTCCCCCCCTTCATTCCCCACCACCCTACCCCCATCCCCACCATTACCCCCCTTTAGTTTATGTCCATGTGTCTCAAGTCCTTTCGATTCTATATTTCCCATGCTATACTTGCTCCCCTATCTATTTTCTATCTACTGTCTATGCTACTTATTTTCTGTACCTTCTCCCCCCTTCTCCTCCTCCCACTCCCCTGTTGCTAACCCTCCTTGAGATCTTCATTTCTATGTTTCCACTCCTGATCTAGCTGTCCTTTTAGTTTGCTTTCATTTTATGTGTGGTTGTTAATAACTGTGAGTTTGTTGTCCTTTCACTGTTCATGTTTCTTTAACTTCTTTTTCTTAGATAAGTCCCTTTAACATTTCATATAATAAGGGCTTGGTGATGATGAACTTGAATTTGATCTTATCTGAGAAGCACTTTATCTGTCCTTCCATTCTCGGACCACACCCCCACATACAGCGTCACAACCCAGGAACCTGGGAGTCCAAGGCGCCACTCCTCACACTTAAAGGGTGCAAACAGACCAAAAGTGTCTCAAGAAGATCTCAAAGCCCCAGAGCCTATAAATCTAAGCAATGAAGAAATAGCCAAACTCTCAGATGCACAGTTTAAAACACTGGTGATCAGGATCCTCACAGAACTGGTTGATTTTAGCCACAAATTAGACAAATATATGGAGGCAAAACTAATTGAAATGAATGGAATTGCACAGGACACCAATATAATGTATTTTCTAAAGTGAGTTATGTGTACTCTTCGTGGTATTCAAGTTAATTTTACATGGTAAATGTATTAACATTTTGAAAAGTGTTTACTTAATTGGGTTGAATATTCCATATTGCCTGCAATATTATATGATATTTAGGGTTTTAAACAAATGAAAAATAATATTTAAGCAATTGGAATGGTGTTATTTGGAAATATATGGAGGAAATAGGAGAATCTTGACTTTCAAAAGGCTTTTTCAAAACTCTTTCCTTATAGGCAAGTATAAAAATATCTTTATTTTACCCCAATTGTATCTTGGCCAGTAATCAGAAGACAAAATCAACTTGAACTGGTGAAAAAAATGGAATTAGAGTGAGGAGAGCTGGGTGGCTTAAGCAACAAAAAGTTTTCTCACAGTGCTGGAAGGAGGCAAGAAGTCCAAGAACAAAGGTTGTGTTCTGGCTTGGCCTCTCTTTCTGGCTTATAGATGCCACCTTCTGTGATCTCACTGAAAAAGTCTTCTCTGTGACACTTGGACAACCAAAGATTCTGACATATTTTCCCCAGTACCATGGCCCCCTAGAATCACCTTATATCAAATTCTACCACATGCAGAAAAAAGAGTATACTCATATTTAAAATAGCCCAAATTACCAGAATTTTAAGGATAATCTGTCTTTAGTTTATGAAACATATTAATGTTACCAATTCAAAATATTTAAAAAATAAAAAACTTCATAGAATGGTTGCAAGGTCTACTTCCAAGTAGTTATTTTTTAAGTAATCTTTATACTCTGCACATTTCTACCTGTTTTATATTACAAGATCAGCATGTTGACTTCTAGTTTACGATAATCAATGAAGTACAAACTGAAAACTCTTCCTTCTATTCCAAACACAGAGGAGTGGTACAAAAATTTAGTTAACAAACATATAGTACCTTTAAAGAATTAAACTGAGATCATTACAAACCAGAAACATTGCCATTGCTGAAGAAAGGAGCAGTGGAGAGTCTGGAAGGGCAGGATGGGGGGCCGTGTGCAGGGCCTGAGTCCAGGACTGTCCCGTGAAGCCTCCTGGAATTTTAACACAGCTATTCTTTTGACAAAGCCATACTTTTTTGTCAGCCTGGTTCTGAGTATTTTAGGCAAAAACCAAGCATTTTCTGCCAGACCAGCCAGGTTCTTAAAAACGCAGCACTTGTTCAGGCTGTGGGCATTAGTAAAAGGAGTGCATATTCTAATGGAGGAACTCACCCCCTGAACAACCCTGAATTGTGTCTAAAGACATAGTAAGCATTTGTTTAATAATGCTTTCATCTGTGTTCACTTTTTAGAAGCCACTTATATTCATTCAAATGTCTAACATATAAACAAAAAAGCCTAAAATAGCTCCTCCACTAATTTGACCTGAGAATATGTTTTCCTTAGCTGTGGCTCTTTTTTCTCCCTCTAGGTTTGCTTTCAGAATATAAATTCTATTCTGATCCTGTTACTTTGTGCTCAATATTTATCATTCTCTAAAGAGGAGTTAGGATGTTTACATCCAGTCCAGGGAAGTGGTCAGCCAATATTATTTACTGGGATTTATTTATAAAGCCAATAAACCCTGCAAGAAGATCTCCTTTGACCATTTAAAAGTATATAGCTCTTGCCGTGGCTGGTGTAGCTCAGTGGATTGGGCGCAGGCCTGAGACCCAGAGGATCACAGTTTGATTCCCAGTCACGGCACATGCCTGGGTTGCAGGCCAGTTTTCAGCAGGGGACACACAAAAGGCAACCATACCTTGATATTTCTCTCCCTCTCTCCTTCTCTTCCACTCTAAAGATAAGTAAAGAAAATATTTTTAAAAAGTATAGAGCTCTTTTGCTGCTTAGTAAATATGCATGTATTTTGTTGCCTAGTAAATAAATATATGTCACAATAATCCCTAAAACTTCAAACCAGTAATCATTATAATTTCTAAGAAAAATGAAAGAAAATTCATATTTGTTTAGAATGGTAAAGAGACTGAAGTTATTTAATTTTTTAAAGCATATTTATGAACTCAAGCCTTAGGGTGTTCTGCTAGTCTTGGAAATACCATACAAAGTTATATAACATGTATGGGACAAAATTATCTTAATTATCTGTGTTTCTGTCATATTTCCTTTGAAATATTGCCAGTAAATGAAGGTAATCTTTATTTTAATTATTATTTTATTGTTTATTTATTTTTTGTTTTTGATCTGAAATATACCAGTTGACAGCATCTGCAAAAGTTTATTATGAGCAATATTTTAAAAGCTTGGTATTTTCTTTTAATTTGAGTAGCTATTAGGCCCAAATTCCTTTACTCTTAAAATTGTATGTACTAGTCAGAGAAATGGTTCTTCAATCACGTGGAAAAAATGAAAGATTTCACTTTGGTTTAGTAGAAACACATCCTTTAGAAGGTGTTGGCATATATTTATCTTGTTTGTTGCAAATCCCATGCAACTTCCTTTTCTGTCTCAGTTGCTAGAAAGTTCTGAAAAAGATTGGTCAACTTTAAAATAGCAAAAACATTTAATAGCTACTCATTTGTTTTTAGTTGCATATATTGTACTCTATAACTACTTTTATCATTTTTTCACATTGTAATACTAGAATCCTGGAATCCTCTTTGAGAGCAGAATTGGTTAACAATCACAAAATACTTAAAATGACGGTGTGGTAAGTACAGTAAAAGTCAGCAGAAACCAAATTTGCTTTTGCTGCTTGCTAGGCAAATAGACGAGTTCTGCATTTTGGTCTGTGATTGACTGACTCCTCCAGGTTCTTAAAACCACAGCCTTTATTTCATCATAAAATATTTCAAAAAGAAGTAACAGGAGGATAATAAAAATTATTATGCTGTACAAATTGATAGAGTAGATAGAAATGAAGAAGAGACAATGAATAAATAGTATTTATGCATAGACATAGAAAACTATCAATTTCAGATGAGAAGAATATGTATTAAGGAAACATTTTATATAGAGCCAATGATTCTTCAAAACATGTAATAATTTTCTGTTATAATTAATATCATATTATCAAGATACTAGAGATAGAATTGCTGAAGAATATTATTAGTACCATTACTAAGCCTACTTCTCCATGGGTACATAAAAATACCAGCTTATAATATTGTTGTAATGTGAACATAAATTTGCTTTATGAAATTGAAATTGACCCTCAGAGAAGCAGTCATTCCTGAAGGCTCTCCAAGGAGTCTGAATGCTCAGCCATGCACTAGCCACCTTGAGAAGCTAAAGGAATTTGCTGCTTGAAAGATAAAGTGGAGAGTTCTCAAACTTCTCCCAGCCACAAACTTTACATCCACAATAATATTTGCATCTGCTTCATAAAATAAACAGAAAAGGATATGGAAATTGCAAGACCCATCATGAGCCCTGTTACCAAATGTTAAGCAGCTGGGCACCCTGTCATGTTCACTTTTCAAAATACCTGAAAATACATTACAATTAGAAAGATGCAGGAGAAAGCCGGTGAATTATGTGGCTTCCTATATTTGATGTACAGGGAATAGGCAACTTTTGTGTAATTGTGAACAAAGACTTTAATTACATTTTTTTCTATGAGAGGCTAATTATTTGTCTTCTTCTTGTGACATTTTGGGAAAGTTAGTTCATCTCTTTGGACATCATTCTATTCGTTGATAAAATATGAAAAATCTAAGTAGATAACCTCATCAGTTTACTATGAAGACTATATGAGATAATACATGTCACATATTTAAAAGTGTTGGCTCATAGTATGGGCTCAAAAAACTTTAGCTTGCCAGGCAAAGAAAGAAGAAAGTATTGCTTGTATATATATAAGCTCAATAAATAAACAAGTAGGAATTCACTTTCCGGATGAGAGATGTGGTTCACACCCATCTCAAATGAAGTGATTCAAATCTTAACACATACTGCAGTGAATTATAGGATGATCTTCAAAGTGAAGACACTTTCAGGGCCTGATAAGCTTTGGGGAAGCTTTTTTAAAGATTTATTTATTTATTTATCTTTAGAGGGGAAGAGAGGAGAGAGGGAGAGAAACATCAATATAGGTTGCCTCTTATGTGTCCCGCACTGGGAACTGGCCTGCAACCCAAGCATGTGCCCTGACTGAGAATCGAACCACCATTGTCTGGTTTGCAGGCCCGCACTCAATCCACTGAGCTACACCAGCCAGGGCTGGGAAGCTTTTTAAAAAAATTTTCTTCAATACTTGTTGATGATGCAACATTAATTTTTAAAAGATCTTTAAAAAAAGAAGAGAAAGAGAAGCAACTTGAAAGAGTTTTAGGTTTTATTTTAAAGGTTTATTTTCTTAGGGAATACTGACAATATTTAAATATATTAGAAAAGCAATGATGGTTTCAGAAATACAACTTGAACTGGAAAAGATGTGTCCATTCTGTCACTTTTCTATTTAAAATGCACTAAAAATCATTTTTGGCCATTTGATGTCAAGAAAATTTTATTCGTCAGCGCCTTTGGCTTATATTTGGAATGAACATTTCTGTTAGTGTTCTGAAGCTGTAGTCATAACACCATGCTCAGGTGTACATATGTGTGTGTGTATGTGTGTCAGGCTGACCTTGTTCTTCACAAATTTCAGTAGCACATGAGGACAGCATTTTGAGAAGCACCTGGTTGAATTTTTATTTTCATGTGTTTGGGCAGACAAATTATTCTAGTCACTGAGGGATTCTTTACAAAGAATTGATTCGGTGTTAGTTTCTGAGGGGAGGAGAGCACAATGCCAAGTGTGTGTCTGGATTAATTCAGCTCAGTACATCTGGCTCACCTCATTTTCATGCAAGAAAAAAATATAGGTGACCTCAGATGAGTGCTGCATTGTATGGAGGACTAAAGTTTTCCAGGAATTTATAATCATTGTAATCAAAATTGGAATTAAGCAAAAATGGAATGTCTGAGCTTCTATAGAAATTCTCCCCTACCCCATCCTGACTCTTCTATTTCTTTAGTTTCATTTTGTGATTTTTTTGGTGTGTGTTTTCTTCTCCTTACTCTTTCAATGCTTTCTTTTCTATTAATTCATTGTCTCTTTACTTTTCCTTCGACTCTCCCTGATATTTTATTGCAATAAATGGTTTTCAGAAACCATTGTAAATAACTGTGTAAATAACTAACAGGGAGTTAAGGATAATATCAGATTACAGATCTTAGATAATGCTTTGTTGTGCAAATAATAGCAAAAATTTATACCGTCATGCAGAGAAACAAACGTCATAGAGCTGGCATTATTTCTTTTACCAGGTTTCAAAAAGATTGTCATTTGATAGGAAATACATGCCATGTATACATCATAAGCACATCATATCCATATCTATGAAGTATGTTTAAGAAATTTAACTTAGTCCTTGGAATGTAGAATCAGATTGTTTCTACTGCCCCTTGACTTCAGACACTGTACATCTCACAATGACCAGGCATACACCCACCTTGCATATCAAACCCTGCATTTCGAATGGGGAAATCCATTTGCCAAGTCCAACAAGCGGTGTTTTTTTTTGGCTCTGTGTTTGTTGTTTCTGTGTGAAGACACAGCTTCCTTCCTAAATGGATATGTTGAAATTTAAATGCATAAGTTGTACAATTATTTCTAGTGGCCTCCCCTCAAGTAGACTAATCCTGTAATGTATCTTTTATTTAGAATAATTATTCCAATTACTGTCTCTTCTATTACAATGACTCTAGTAGAAGCATCTCTTTGCATGCAGAATAAAAGACTTGTATTATACATTTTTTCTAATATTTAGTTCAGCTTTACAAATATTAAAGCTCATACCCTATTTTTCCCAATGATGGTAAAGAGGCATTATTCCATTGCACAGGTCTAATTGGCTTTAAGAGACAACATGAGAACTAAAAATAGAAAAAGTATTATTATTGTTTTTAATAGGCTCTGACTTTATTGTCCAGTATGTACTCTAGGTCTGTTTCTACCACCAAAACCCTCAGTAATAGAAATTGAATAAGACATGATTGTGTAGTGGATATCTTAATTTTGCTTGTTTTTTTCCATCAGACAATACTTATCTATGTTAATTATCTTATATCAGTGTGTATAAATAAGCCCCAGGGCTATTTAGATATTTGTATTTTTACTTGCTATCTCTTTTGTCTTCTAACCTATCACTTAGCTCTCTGGAATAAAAGTGAATTATATTTGGTGTAGTAGCCTTCTTTTATGAAAGGTGTATTTTAATTTGATATTTAAAATAATAAGCTTAAAAATGTGATTGGACTTTATTTCATTTACAATTTTTTTCTTTAAATATTTTATTTATTTATTTATAGAGAGAGGGGAAGGGAAGGAGAGAGGGAGAGCAACATTAGTCTGTGGTTGCTTCTCACATGGCCCCCACTGGGGACCTGGCCTGCAACCCAGGCATGTGCCCTGACTGGGAATCAAACCAGTGACCCTTTGGTTGAGAGCCTGTGCTCAATCCACTGAGCTACACCAGCCAGGGCTCATTTACAATTACTTTTGGACATACACTTACCACAAAAATGTGCTCTGGGGGAATTTGACCAACTAGCTGATAATAGAGTAAATCATTTCTAGTTTACAGGAAAAAACAAAGGCTTCATTATTTTGCTGTTATTATTTATTATATAAAAATAAAACATATTTTTTAGCTGGCTGTGTGCATTAAGTCCAGATATTGTTTCATAAAATGAGTCAAGTGGGAAAACTTCCATTTCTTTGTGATGGCACATCAAATGTGCTCTTATCCCTAAAAACATTCACGAGGAAAGAGTGAAACCTTCCTGCTTTATTTTCTCGAGTATCTTTAGCACTAATAGAAACATTTTAATTGTGACATATTTACTTTGCAGGAGCCAATGAAAAAGAAATAGTCCTAATGAATGGTTTGACTGTTAATTTGCATCTTCTACTGGTAAGTTCCCTTTCCTGCCAATGTTTAGTATACATTCTTTACAGAATCTGACATATTTCTATCTTTAATTCATGAGCATCTGGTGGTTTACTTCCTTAAAAATAAGTCGTGAGGTTATTTTCATTTTTAGCAGGAAATGCTAGCCCGTGACAAAATGGCTTCTTCATACTCATGGGAGAGTTGACACTTGCAAAGAGCCTTAGAATAATGAACAACTCTTATCTCCGAATGTAAGGAATAAGAGTCACAGTGGGTACAAAAAAAACCCCTGCTTGCAAGCATGCAAACTAATGATGTACAAATGCTAGCAAACACCGAACTTTATAGAGAGGTAGTTTTTCAATATGCTGGAATTTAGAAGGGGAGGATTATGGATCAGTATGGATCAGTAGATTAATTTTTTGAAATAGATTTAAAAAATAGATTTAAAAAGAAATAGATTAAAAATAGATTTGAAATAGATTTGAAAATAAGATTAAATTGGAGAAAAGGGACCTATTAACTGAAATGAGTTACCATGCTTAAGGTGCTTCTTATACTATAAGTATTTAATAAATGTCAAATATTGGGTTTGCCAAAAAGTTTCCAAGTTTCTTTTTCTCAAAGATGGTTGTAATAGCACTTAGTTGTCTTTAACTTCATTTAAAACAATTTTGTTAGGTTTTATTGTGACATTATGACAGCTGTCATACCAGTGTGCATTAAAGAAAAAACTTGTCAAGATTGGTGAATTTTTGTATGGCCATTTTAATACTGAAGATGGAAGAAAGTATGCAATATTTTTGCCATATTATTCTTTATCATTTGAAGAAAGGCAAAAACACAACTTAAATGCAGCAAAAGATGCGGAGAAGGTGCTGTGAGAAACCGAAAATGTCAAAAGTGGTTTGTGAGATTCTGTGCTGGAGATTTCTTACTGGACGATGCTCCATGGTGGGGTAGGCCAATTGAAGTTGATGGCAACCAAAATGAGACATTAATTGAGAACAATCAACACTATACCCTGCAGGAGATAGTAGACACACTCAAAATACCCAAATCAATAAAGTTATTGGTGAAAATGAAAAATGTGTCTTGTACTTTATGAAACAAAACAGACAGACTTTTCGGCCAACTCAGTATATTCTGGATTTGAAGTATAACATCTACAGTAATTGCTTGATGTTTTGAAATTTCTTTTTAAGTTTTTGTTAACATGTCTACATGACCAAGATGCACAATGAAGATATTAATATTTCATTTTAGTAAAATGGAGAAATGATTACTAATATGACTAAAGAAACATACTTATCGAGTGTGTTAAGTATCGAGGTAAAAAGCATAGTTTTAAGTTCAGACACCTCTGGGTCTGACTCCCACCTAAGTTACTTAGTGCCTGATTGAATTTGGACAAGTTTTTTGGCATTTTTAAATCCTAATATTATTCTTTCTAAAAATGAGAGAAATAGTACCTCCCTTGTGGGTATGCACAAGTGTGAAATGTAACGCCATGTGGAAATTGCTTTAGCACTCAGACCAGTGATCGGCGCCGAATCACCGCAGTGATCATCTCCGTTGCTGTTACTGTCATTCTCCGCTGGGAGCTGAGGGGAGAAATAAAAGGGCCCCATTGCACAAACGAGCCATTTCTCCCTGCTGCCTCTAGAAATGTGCAATGTTTTATATTAGGGCTTAGGTACTTTTTAGTTAGACCTAAAATAAAATTTCATAAAATAATAAAGCAGTGAAAATATTCTGCACTAGAAACCAAATCTGCAGTGGAAGGTAAGTCAACATAAATAAGACATGCATAGACCATGAGATCTCAGTCTCACAATAGAGAAATTACCAATGAATGCATTGGGAAGATAATTTTTAATTGAAATTGAAATAGCTTTAAGGGTTTGTATTTTGAGATTCACATTTTCTCCTAAATTTGCTTCTACATCAATAAATAAAATGAGCCAGTATTTTTTCTTTTTATAATTCATTAGAAATGAGGCTAATTGGAAAATATGCTCAACAGATACCTAGATGTATAATTAATGCATTTAAAATGCTGGACATTAGAAAATGGTATATAGTTATAAATAAATGTATAATTGTGCATTAATGCTTTTCTCAATAAATCCATTTTATTGCAGTTATCATTTTTTAAGCCTACACCAAAACGGTATAAAATTCTTCTAGAAGCCAAAGCCTTCCCTTCAGACCATGTAAGGATTCTTCAAATTATATTTGTATTCTACCTATTCTTTCTAGAAGAGTGTATCACTTGCCTGACTTGAATGTTTATTGTCTAGTTTTTTCCAAGTAACCTTAGAATAAAAGATCTGCCAAATGTTCTAATTTATGCATTTTTAAAAAAATAGATTATATCTTTATTTCTTTTGTTCAAGTAAAGCATGTGCTAAGGAAGGTAAGAATTGAACCAGGACATTGATTTGTTAGTGTTTTCTAACAACATTGAACAAACTGCTGATCTAAGTCTCGTGCAGTTAGAAAAGCTTTGTTAATTCATGCTACTTTTTTATTTTATATAAAACCAAACTGATACATAAGCCAGCGCTTAACCCTTTAGTATTTATATTACAAATGGTAATATAAACTCTTATCTGTTCATTTTTATAGCATTCTAGCATAAATATTGAAAAATTACTTATTAGGTATTAAAAATATCTCATATAGTTCACTAAAAAAAATATGCCACTTTATCAGCTATTCAATTAAGAGATCTGATCATTCCATACACAGACACAGATAAAAGTATATTGCACATTTCTATTTTAATGTCAAAGAAACTCTTGTCTTTATATTTTCACTGTTAAACTGTGCTAGCATATATCTTGTAATTTTAAGTCTTTTAAATGTGTCCATGTTAATAGTTATTACTATAGTAAAAAAAAATCCCTCAATATCTTGAAAAAATTCAAGGTCACTGTAATTGCAACCCATTCACATCTTGTACTCTCAAGGGAGAGAAATGTTGATGTTCTTTCCTTTTACTAGCTTGCTCTTTCTTGGGTAAGCCATTTCTGTATGCTCTGTTCTAGACTAGTGAGTTGACAGTTCTCACTTTGGTTATTTTATAAATTCTGGTTTTGCCTTTCATAAGTGATTTTATATCCTATTAAAAAATTTCTTGTAACCTCATAAAGCCTAGATCACTCCTGTGTTTTCATGTATCTCTATAATTTAGTGTTTTGAGGAATGTTCAGATTCCTCAACGTGTCCATTAATTAAGCAGGTCTTCTCTAATGTGTTATGGTTATCATTTTTAACCTTGACCTTGGATTTAATATAACAATACACTTTTATTGTTATTTCATTATGTATTTTCAGAGTTTATTTCAAAGTAGTTGTATATATTGGACTTGATTCAATAAACTATCCTTGTTTTCCAGTATGCTGTTGAATCCCAGCTGCAACTTCACGGACTCAGCATTGAGGAAAGCATGCGGATGATAAAGCCGAGAGAGGTATATGAGAAACAAATAAATATTCATCATGCCTCTATTTAAAATTGATTTTTAAAATTTATTCTTCAATTTATTATCTTCTTTATTTCAATGGAACTTTCAAGGAAGTATAAAGAACCTATATTTGTATAACAAATCATTTTGCTAAAAATGGAGAAGTAACTCAGATATATATATAATTATATAAAAATTAACTCAGAAGTTATATATATATTATATATATATAATTATATAAAAATTATATAAGAAGTAACTCAGATATATATATAATTATATAAAAATTATATATATATATAATTTTTCAAAGGCTAGTCATATTACAAACATGATGTTTTACTGAAAAATTTTAATTTCAAATGTCATTGTCTACAGATGAAAATAACATTAAAAACTAGTGATAATGTTTTGGAACTGCTGAATGATGCCAGTCTTTTATCTCTTCTTAATATAAGGATCAAATGTTTTCTTCGGAGCTCAGACTAAGGTGCAGGAAGGAATTCATATAGTAGAAAAAAGGTTGGTCTTTGTAAGTGGCTAATGTACCCCTGAGAAATTTCATACCCACCAACTTACTGGGTAAGGGACCTTAGGAAAGTTACTTTATCTCTCTGGGATTCCTCCATATCTAAACAGGTAACAAAGGAAATACCTAAAAAATTTGAGCATGGGTTCAAGATCTAAAATATTGCTCAGTTTACATGAATACAGGCATTTTATTTGTCAATATGCAGTAAATGAATGAAACAGAAAGTTCCCACACCTGTGAGAGGACATGTTTTCATTGGTCACATATAAATAGCTTATGTCAAACAAAAATGAACATAGCCACCAATATGTCACGTCTTAATTTTAAAAATGACAAGTGTTGTGAAGCCTCACTGGGCAGTCATAATCTTGGGGGCACTTTGGGGCATCAGTAGATTAGAGCAAGTCAACACAAAAGAGGACCATATCCCAGGAATTTTCGACCACTTTCCTCCATGGCACACATAAACTGATTACTAAAAGTCTGTGGCACACTAAAATATGTTATATTTTTGCCAATCTGACAAAAATAGGTATAATGTTGATTCTATCTCCTTGGGTGGCTATTGTGTTGACTATTGTCATTTTTTTATTTAACAGCCTCAAGGAAAAAAGGTCAGCATTCATGGCTAAATAGTTGAGTATTGCATGTTTTGAAAATTTTCTCAGCACACCAGTTGAAAATGGCTGCCATATTCTATATTTTATAAATATATTTGCTTGCTTAATACTGTCTTAAAATAAATAACACATATTATTATATTGTTTCCCTACTCATTTTGAAATTATGATGGACACAACAATTAGAGTCTTTTAAGAAAACAAGTTCTATATTACTGCATTATTACTTTTACTTAGATTTTGTCAGAATTACTGAAATAATTCTTTTTTGTAAATAAAGTATGCATCACTTAACAACTTAGAGATTTCATATCAATATTGTTTTCATAGATTCCATTCTGTGAACAAGTTCTAAGGTTTTAGTAGAACTTAGGGTGTGTATTATGTTTGCGATATACATAATTTATGTCTGATATGAGATGCAGTAATTAGCAAGCAGCAAGAATTACCAAAAATTAAACATAACTGAAGGAAAACTTATTAATAGAATAACAAATTTTCCTCAGATATTTATACAATTAATAATGCTTTGACCTCCCAGTCATGTGAGATTCAGTCCTGGAGAAGAGTCCTTAACACTTTATAAATAGATACAAATTGTTGTGATAACAAGTTGATACTTCCTATGTAGCTGATTTCTTCTTGTTCCTGTTGTTTGTAAGGCCAAATCTAAATTCATTCACAATTTTCACTGAGTAACCAATCACTAATTTTACCTAGGGAGATATGAAGAAAAATAGCCTTAATAATTGTTTTATTGATATTTTTCTTCATATTTGAGTTTTGATCTTTAGATTGTTGTGGAGGAGATTTCATGCTTCAGTTAATAGAAGATCTCAATTAGGCTATTCAGATGAAAGGCACATATGCTTTATTTATAAAATATGCATGTGTTTTTATTTGAGCTGAAAATAATATATTACATTGAAATACTAATTTCTAAAAAATTATCTCACTATTGAATATTTCATGAACTTTTACTTCCTGTGTTGTATTAAATAGGAATAGGAAAGAAACAATTGATGGTTAAACATAATATACACTTTATAAAACGTTTTTTACTCTTCTATTATCATTACTTAATAATAAGACAAAACACGCTCAAATGCTTCTTTCTTGCCAAATTTTGGAAAATCAATAACCTGAAAAAAACCTACCTTTGATTTTACTTATGGTGAAAAGGAGTTCATGAAGAATTTTAGCTGGGGAAACATGAAGTGAGAAACTTATTACTGTGGATATGATGTAACCTAGGCTTTACTCAACTTTAGGGGGAAGAGACCTTGAGAACAGAAGATATCCTTGAGGTAATTGAGAAGGAAGGAGACTCTGTCGCAGTGATCCTGTTCAGCGGCCTGCATTTCCGTACTGGACAGTTCTTTGATATGCCTGCCATCACAAAGGCAGGGCAAGCAAAGGTATGTGGCTCATTGGCTCCTTCCCATCACACCCAGACATCACTCTGCTGAGAAGTATGCTAACTGCACTTCGAGTAAAGCACCTTTCTGTCTGTGTAAAAGTGTTTAAAGAGTTAAAAAAAAAAGAGAACGCTTTGCATTTAAAAAACCTATAGTCTATTTTGCTTTAGGCATCTCTTTATAAACCTCTTTTTGTCCCTTCTCTGGTCTCACCTTTTTACTGGCACCTCCTGCCTCAACTTTTACCTCTAATCAGGGGAACAGGCAAGCTTCCTACAGGTAGTATTGATGGTAATGAGCTGCTAAGTCAACAGAAGCAAATGTAATATTTAGGATAGTAACTACATGCTAGGACTGTTTGTCCTACTGTGACCCATTATAAATATAATTCACTATCTATTAATCTTAGGTATCTGAAGAAAAATAAATGAAGAATAAACATTTATCAGTAGATTGAGTTTTGCACAGTTTACATTAACGAAGACGTCCCCCCCTTAAGAATCTTAAAAAATAATTCCGCCTATCACAATTCCTTAAGTATTACTAAATCACATTAAACTGTTTAGCATTTTGAAGTTTTGTCTCTTTATATATGTGTTTACAAAAATGTTATTTTAACATTTGTTTGCTAAAAAAAGAAATCAGAGCAGTCCAATACTCAAGATTTAAAATTTAGATTTAAAAATCTTTAAATACGTTCTATTTGATTTGGCAATCAAGTCATGTATTGAAAAAGGTGACAACCTAATTTTGTTCTGAACATCAATAAGTTATGGGAGTAATGTACGTGTGAGGTCTAGTTAATATATTCAGTTATTGAAGCTAATGAATGGAACTAATGAAGAGAAATTTAGCACCACTATCAGCAGTCTCTAGGAATTTCCAACAACAACTACCAGCTGGTTTGATGGATAACTGTGAAAGTGGTGCATTACAAAAGATATAAAGATGATGTCTTCTTAATTTAGATATCAAATGTTAAGTACCAAAATAAAGGGAGACAAGTAAAGCATCATGTTTTAAAATGTTATACAAGAAATCAGCAGTCGCTGAGTCCCTCAGTATACATGCACATCTCATTAACCTTCACTGAGATACAGAAGAAAGATCATGGGTTTAGGAGTCAACCACACAGTCTGAGGTTCAAATCTTGGCTACACCATCTGTTATATAGTCTCAGTCAAATTATTTGACTTTTCTGAGTCTCTGTTTTCAAAACTGTTATTTTGCGATGCCAAGAGCCAGTTCATATATTTTGTGTAGATGTGTAAGAGTATAGAAAATCTGTTCAGTTGCACACATTCTGCTGTTAAGTAATGGCCACCTTCCCCCTTCCCTGTCCTCAGCAAATATGAAGTCAGGGAAAGTGCTCAGATGTATGTTTTTTTTAATTTCCCAGCTGAAAGCAAAATGCACTTGTTTACTTAGGTGTTATATGCTATTCTCACTCTTAACTACTTGGGTTGCTGAAATCATTCTCTCAGTATTTTGCATGCTTTCTTTCAGTTAAAAAAATGCAGTAAGTGCCTGCCAACTGAAATTCTCTCAGAGCTTTCAGTCCAATAAAGACAAGAGTGAGCAGTTCCATCTAAATGAAACCACAAGGGTACGATGTGCTGTGGGAGTGGAATGGTGACATAGCAAATATATATATATTTTAAATATATATGTATATATATATATTTAAAACTTATTTTAACAAACATTTATAATCTTGTTATACAAATTTCTCCCCTCTATTTTCACTGAAGGTGGGGAAAAGTTTTTTAAAATGTAGACATACATAGCTCTCTTAGGTGGTATATAAAGATAAACCTGAATGAGAGGCAGAGACAATATTAAAGGTGTCAATCAAGACAGAGATAGGAAATTCTAGAAAAGGTCATTAGAAATGGCTCAGTGAGATAAAAAAAGATGAAAGCTTTCAGAAACACAGTATGACAACAAAAATCATGTTGTTATGGAGCAATGAAAATCAACAAGAATAGATTTTGACTTTTGGCTTCAAATTATGTAAAATGGAATTGAAGATAGGAGTTTTAAATAACATACTCATTAAGAAATGCATGCATGTGAAAAATAACAACAATCATAAATAGCTTGATAAGTTATTTTGAATCCTTAAAACCATCACACCTACATCAAGAAACTTTTTAGAACATTTATATTACTCAGAATCCTCAGCTGTGCCTTCTAAATACTGCCTGTTAGCTCTTTTCCAAAGGTACCACACTCTTCTGACTTCTAACTTTATATATTAGCTCTGTCCATCTTTGAACTATATAAATGGATTCATATATTTCTTTTGTGCCTGGCTTACTTGATGACTATTGCACTTGTAAGGTTTATCCATGTTGCATGTAGCAGTAGTTGTGTTTTTTTTATTTCAGTGTATTATTACAGTGTATCAAATAGATCACAATTTATTTTTATCCATTTCAATCAGAATAGATATTTGGGTTTTATTTTCACTCCAGGGCTTTTAAAATAAATGCTACTTTGAACATTTATAGAAAGCATTCGTATTCTTTGGGTAAGCATTCATACACATTTCTGCTAAATATGCAGTTAGAAGTGGAATTCTGCCCTGGCTGGTGTAGCTCAGTGGATTGAGCATGGGCTTGTGAAGCAAAAGGTCACCGGCTCAATTCCCAGTCAGGGCACATGCCTTGGGTTGCAGGCCAGGTCCCCAGTAGGAGACACATAAGAGGCAACCACACATTGATGTTTCTCTCCCTCTCTTTCTCCTCCCCTTCCGCTCTCTCTAAAAATAAATAAATTTAAAAAAAGAAGTGGAATTCTTAGGTATGTGTATGATGATTTTTAATCAATAATGCCAACTTTCCAAAGTATCAATCTGTCATGTACTGTTACCAGCTTGAATAAGAGTTTCTATTGCTCTCAAAAGCAGATCTGATTAGTTTGTAATAGTAGCTACACTGTAGGTTTTTTTCTTGATGTATAATCAACATATATACAAAGTTATTACAATATTATTGCTATATCCCCTATCCTTTGTATTACACACCTGTAACATTATCTTAACACAGAGTGTTTATACCTTTTAAACCCCTTCACTTATTTTACCCCCCTGCAAACACTCCCCTTTCTGCTAAACACTACTTTGTTTCCTGGCTCTATAAATCTGCTTAGATTTTGTTTTGTTTGTCCATTTGTGTTTTTTTGTTTGTTTTTAATTAATTAATTTATTTTTTAAAATTATTTTTTAACTACAGTATTCTTTCTTTTACTCCCTTCCCAGCCCACCCCCGTGCCCCCCACCTCCCTCCCCTTTCCACTCACCTTAGTTTTTGTCCATGTGTCCTTCATGCTAGTTCCTGTAAATCCTTCCTTTTTTTCCCCCCTGAAATTCCCTCCCCTCTTCCCTCTGGTCGCTGTCCCCCTGTTCTCTATTTCAGTGTCTTTGTTTTTATTTTGCTTGATTGTTTGTTTGTTATTTAGCTTCCTGTTAATGGTGAAATCATACAGTATTTGTCTTTCTCTGATGTATTTCACTTAGCACACTACCCAGGTGTGTCCATGTTGTCATAAATGGAGAGTCTTCATTATTTTTATGCCGCAGTTATATTCCATTGTGTAAATCTACCACACCATGTTCGCCCATGACTCTACTGATGGACACTTAGGTTGTTTACATACCTTGGCTATTTTAAATAATGCTTCAATGAACACGGGTGTGTATGGCTCTTCAAATTACTATTTCAGATATTTTGAATAAATACCCACAAGATGAATTGATGGATCATATGGTAACAGTATTTTTAATTTTTTGAAGAACTCTACTGTTTTTAGCTGCTGCACAACTTACATTCCTACCAGCAGTGTATGAAGAATCACATTTCTCTACATCCTCACCAACATTTTTTAAAACTTTTTGATAATCGCTGTTCTGACAATGGTATCTCACTTTAGCATTTCCCTGATGATTAGTGACATTAAGAGTGTTTTCATGTGACTGTTGGCCATCTGTCTGTCTTTTCTGAAAAAAAATATTCAAGGCTTCTGCACATTTATTAGACGTTTCATAACTATTTAACATGTAAAATTGTGTTGTCATCTTTATCAGGTGCCTTTCCATTTTTTGTGTGTCACCAAGTTTTTAAGTGCTGTCCCCAAAAAACACTTTCCCCATATGCCTGTGAATTGTATTGCACAATATTTTGGAGGGGGAAGGAAGATTTCATTCATTTATGTATTTACATTTCACTCCATCACCCTCTCCCCTTTGTCAACCATCAACTTATTCTCTGTACCTCAGGTTTTATTTCTGTTTTGTTTAGTCATTTATTTTTAGATTGCACATGTACGGGAGATCACATGGTATTTGTCTTTCTCTGATTTAATTCACTCAGCATAATGACATCTAGGTCCATTGTATTGCTGCAAATAGCAAGATTTCACTCATTTTCATGACTAAATAATATCACATCTTTATCCGTTCATCTACTGAGGAACATCTATGTTGCTTTCAGTTCCTGGCTAGCACTCTTCTTCTATCACTTATGGGGGAAAGAAGTTAAAATACTTTAGCCTTTTATGATTTTGCATACCTGAAGTTCAACGCAACTTCCACCTGCGCTATTGACCCCCACACTGAAGGACAGTGCCAGCTGGCATAAGTAGTTATGTTCATGGTGCGGTATCCTTACAATAAGGGGTAAAGCAAAGCATTTGTATGGACCAAATTCATATATTACTTGACTAACTCCTGTAGAAACATGAGTGTTCAATTAGTGACCACAAACAAAATTTCTGTGCTTCTCTGTCAAGCTAAATATCTCTTTCCATTGTATTTTTATAACACGATGTATCATTGCACTGTCTTGCAATTATTTCTATGCCTATCTTAACTTTCAAATTTAAGAGGATTATGTCAATGGAGTGTTTAATGACTGGTTGAGGGTTGACCCTACAAAACTCACAGATTTATGCTTGTGCTTTGCATATTGTCGTTTGTATTTAAATGCACACCCGTTTGG